GGGAAGCCCGACCCGGCCGTGCCTCCTGATTGGACAGTCGCCGCCCCCTCCTCGGCTCTGGAGCACCCCCCCCCCCCGCCCCCCCCCCCCCCCGCCTTGGGGGTGACTTTTCCCTCTGCGGATCCTGGGGTCAATTGAGTACCAGGGAAGAGCTTACAGTGTCAGCTCCGCTCCCGCCCGCACTGCTCCTAACCTACAAAGCCCCCACGTAAACAATGGCTTTCAAGCATGTGTGGCAAAGACCCAAACAAACCAAGGGACACCACACTAAGTAGCACAAAGGGAATTTTGTTTTCCTAATGTGTACAACGCTGCTTCAGACACATCTTTCATAATTCCCCCCAGAAGCCAAGACGCCCCGGCCCAGCCTCCTGTCCCTCAGCCCACAACTCAGCCCAGCCAGGAGGGGGAGCTGGAAGATTCTGTGGGCCGGGCTGCAGCCACACTATCATGCTTTGATCTCTCCAGGGACTGGGGAGGGAGGGAGGACAGAGCTGGAGGGGCAAGAAGTAGAGGAAAAGGAAAGGGACTGCTGAAGGAAATGAGACAGACAGCGAGAACTGGGGAGTCGCTGATGGGATACATGGGAAGGGAGCTGGATGTGACACAGGACGGAGGAGGAGGTGTGGGGGAAGGGCGGGGCTGGATGCACAATGACACGTCCTGGATGCGTGCTAAAGAAAAAACTGATTTATTTCTAATTTCATTATCAAGATTCACATTTGCTGAGCAGTTCGAATCCTCGGAGGAGCATGCTGAGGCAGATAATATCCCCATTCCACATTTCCTCCCGTAGAAAGGACATGTGCCGGGTCTCAGCCAGAGAGCGATTAAAAAGGTGTTCCCCTTTATGGTATTTTCTTGCCAGTGAATAAGGAAACCTCCCCCTGGAAAACATTCCAAAGTTTTTCCGTGTTGGGGTTATTATATGCGTTACAGTACTAATAACAGAGATAAGAAGGTATGCAAAGAAAGTCAACAATGTACTAAGGATTCTTTGCTTCATTTTAATAAAAACGTCTTTCCTTCCTGGAAAAAGTGTTGTTGTCTGGATCCGAGCGTTTAAAGAGAAGCAAACAGGCATCTTGATCTGTGTTTGAATGAGTCTTAGACCACCCATCCCACACGGATGCAGTCTGAGGAAGAGCCAGCTCCTATGAGCCTTTTATAGTCTGCAACTGTCTTCTCTTTCAGACCCAGCAGCTGTGGGACCTGAGTTTATGATACCTATAAGTCATGTCGCTGAAAGGAAACAGACAGGCAATTTGGGTTGAGTGGGAATATGAGAGCACAGGGAGAACGTACTTCCTTTCCAAGGAGTATTTAGAGAATGCTATTTGAGTAGCCCAATTCTTTGTTTACTTAAAAAGAATTTCATTCGAAGTCATGGAGACCTGAGCTGTTCCAGGTGTACAAGGGAGGCTGTAGAGGCTAGTGATTAAGAGTTCTGGGTCAGATAGCCTGGGTTCAAAGCCCAGCTGTGACACTTAACAACTGTGTGACCGTCAACCAGTTACCTAATTTCTTCAGGCCTTCATTTATTCATTTGTAAATGGGAATGACAGCACCTACCTAATAAGGTTTCAATGATCTATAAATGTTCCATGTGCACTTGAAAAGAATGTTGTTGGGTGAAATGTTCTATAAATGCCCATTAGGTCTAATTTTTTGATAGTGTTCAAATCTTCTATATCCTTACTTATTTCTGCCTGTGTGTTCTATCAGTTTTCGATAGTGGTATTAAAATCTCTGACTATAATTGTGGATTTGTCTGTTCTTGCAGTTCCATGAGTTTTTGCTTCATGCATTTTTGAAGCTCTGAAACTAGATGTATAAGCATTTAGATGCATAAGCTGTTGATTGACACCTTTATCATTATGAAGTTATTGTCCCTGGTTGTATTCTTTGCTCTGAAATATACTTTGTCTGATAGTAATATAGCCACTCCAGCTTTATTTTGATTAGTGTTACTTGGTATATCATTTTCTATCCTTTCACTTTTTAACCTATTTGTGTCTTTATGTTTAGAGAGTGTTTCTTGTAGTCACCATACAATTGGGTCTTTCTTTTTTATCCAATCTCACAATCTCTGCCTTTTAGTTAGTGTGTTTAGAACATTTACACTCAATGTGACTATGGATATGGTTGGGTTTAAATCTGTCATCTTGCTATTTGTTTTCTCATCTGTTCTTTGTACCCTTTTTGTTGTTTTCCTGCCTTCTTTTGGATTGATTGAATTTTTTATGATTTCATTTTATCTCCATTTTAGTGGTTGCTTTAAGGTTTACCGTCTACATCTTTATCAATCTTCCTTCAAGTGACGTTATATCACTTTGTGTATAAGACCTTAGACTAGTATACTTCCATTTCTCCCTTCCCGACCTTTTTTACTATTGTTATCATCCATTTTGTTGTATATTGCTATATTTTGAACCCAAAACTATACTGATTTGTTTGGTTGTTTCGGTAGTCAAGTATATTTTAAAGAGATCCAAATAATAAGAAAAAATTAATATATTTGCCAATGTAGTTACCATTTCTGGTGCTGTTCATTCCTTTATGTAGATCCAAATTTCCGTTTCAAATCATTTTCCTTCTCCCTAAGGGACTTGCTCATTTCCTGTAATGCAGTTCTGCCGGGAACAAATTCTTTCACTTTTGTATGTTTGAAAAAGTCTTTATTTCACCTTCTTTTTTGAAATACACTTTTTGGCTGGGTAAAGAGTTCTAAGTTGACAGGTTTTTATTTTTCTTTCAGGACTTTGTTTCACTGTCTTCTTGGTTGCATTGTTTTCAAGGAGAAATCTCTATCATCTTTTTATTTATTCCGCTATTTGAATCATGTCTTTTTTCTCTTGATGCTTTTAAGAGTTTTCTTATTATCACTGTTTTTGAGCAACTTGATTATGATGTGCCTTGATGTTGTTCTCATATTTATCATACTTGGGGGTTGATGAGTTTCTTCCATCTGTTTTCATCAAATTTGGAAATATTTAGCCATTATTTCTTCAAATATTTTTTTCTGTCTCCTACCTCCTTTCTTTTGGGGACCTTAATTACACATATATGACACCACTTGGAATTGTTCCACAGCTCACTGATGCTTTGTTCATTTTTAAAAATTATTTTCTTTTCTCACTGTGTTTCATTTTTGATAGTTTCCATAGCTACTTCTTCAAGTTCAGTAATGTTTTCTTCTTTACTGTCTAATCAGCCAGTTGTCACATCCATTATATGTTTTTTTATCTCAGACATTGTAGTTTTCATCTCTAGAAGTTCAATTTGGGGTATTTTTTATGTCTCATTTTCTTTTTTCATTGTCTCATTTTAAGTGTATGAATAGATGGAACGTAGTTAATCATTTATAATGTCCTTGTTTGGTAATTCTAACATCTGTCTCAGTTCTGCTTCAGTTTCAATTGATCGATTTCCTTGTTATGGGTTGTATTTTCTTGCTTCTTTTTCAGGCCTCCTAATCTTTGACTGGAGATCAGACATTGTGAATTTTACTTTGTTGAATACCAGATATCATTGTATTTTTATCAATATTCTTGGACTTCGTGATAAGCAAGAATCAAGTTATGTGGAAACAGTTTGATCTTTTAGGGACTCACTTTTAAAATTTGTTAGATAAAACCAAAGCAGTATTCAGTCTAGGGCTAATTATACCCCATTACTAAGACCTTTTTGTGTTGGGTACTTAATACTCTGTGAATCATGAAGATTTCCATTTTGGCTGGTAGGGACTGATAATGTATTCCCATCTCTGTGTGAGCACAAGTGCTGTCACCTTTAATCATTTTAAGTGGTTCTTTGCTGAACCTTGGGTAGTTTCCTCTTATGCATGTGCTGATCAGTACTCAGCTGAATTCCCCAGGAAGACCCTCTGTGTACCTGGGGTTTTCTATCTGCATAGCCCCTCTGGTACTCTCTCCTGCAAACTCTAGCTGGAATTTCAGCTCCATCTCCTCAACTCAGGCAGACTGCTTGGCTCCACCTGGGCTCCACCTGGGTTTCACCTCCACACACCGTGGCCTGAAAACTCTCTAAAGTTGGTCACTAGGACAATTGTAGGACTCACTTCATTTTTCTCCCATCTGAGATCATTGTCCTTTCATGCCTGAGAAAAAAATGAAATAATATTTGTTATGCATTTAGCTCAGTTCCCCGCAATGTATTCAGCATTCAATAAAAGTTAAGTATTATTACCATTACATTTATTTCAGGATACAGCTTTGAAAGTTTGAACCCATGTGTATATGTATTGGGGACACAATGCATTGGGAGAGACAGATAACTAGAGAGGCTTTTTGTTTGTTTGTTTATATAAGATCTTTTGTAGTTTCAGTATCATCCTGAAATCTAAGTAGGTGGTAGCACTTAAGATCCACAGGGCACTGTGGTTCAGAAAGAGGGTGACAAAGAAAAAGAATATTTAATGCCTAAAAGGCATTTTTTCTTACATACGTATGTATATAGAAATACACATGTATCTTCCATAATCCAAATGCATCTCTCCACTTCAGTCTCATATAATTGATGACTGCATGACTTAGGACCCAGCAGAGACACACATGGACTCTCTCATTCCTTTTCAATAAAGTTTGATTTTGTTGAAATACAGATCTCTGGAGACAAGGTAGC